CGTTAGCTGGGGGCGAATGGCGCGCAGACGAGACACTGCGATGTACTGCGTTCCAAAGCGCGTGCCTGCCGGGCACAGGGTCTGCAGCGATTTCTGCTCGCCGTGTAGCTCCGCGAGCCGCAAGAATGCGCGCGTCCACTGGTGCCCGTGCACGAAGTTGATGATATTGTCGGCCTGAGTCACAATCACCTGCGCCCAGTCCATCTTGCCGATGTCCTCCATAAGCAGGTCCGTCACGTGCATGGCGCAGGGAACGAGGTCGAGATGCGACCACTCCTTCTGCAGCAACTTGCCAGCAGCTTTGTAGTTGCTATCGCCATCTGTGCACAGCGCGGCGACGTGCTCTGCCCCGATGCGCTCGATGATCGGCCGCAGGACGCCAGCGATGAACGCGCCACTCTTCGTCGCAGCCTTGCAGTCGACCACCTCAACGAAGACAGCTCCAGTGTCGTTGATGCATATGATATTCATCTGCGCGCGACCGCTCTTGTCTTGCATCATGTCGCTGGCGATCGTCACGCCCATCTCCCTCCATGACCTCGTAACGGGCGACAACGCCTTCTGGATCCGCTGCTTGCAGTCTAGCAGGCCGGCGCCTCCAACGTAGTGCCGCTTGGGGGGGACATATCCTTGGGCGGCGGCGGCGACGGCTCGCACCATGTTGAGGAAGAGCGGGTGCTCGCACTGAGACTCCGATGTGCGCGTCCCCGCGAGGTAGAGGACAATCGCTTCGTCGGCCGCCTTCTTTGCCGCGACGCCACCCTCACCGTAGAAATCGTCCATGCGCCCGCGCTTCGCCTTCCCTCCCGCCGCGCTCTTGTCGCTCACCGCACCGAGCGCCGCATCCGTTGCCTTCGCCTTTTGGTTGCGCGCCCGAACCTTCGCTTCGAACATCTCGCGAACCTCCTTCGAAATCTCCTTCGGCACATCCGCGCAAACAACTCCCGCCTCGCGCCGCCGATGGGGATCGTTCCACACAAGGAGGTGCTCGGGGCAACGTCTACTACTCCACGAAAACTTCTTGCCGCAAAACTCACACTCCACTTCGTCGCCCTTTTTCTTTGGATCCCTAAAAAGGTAGAAGTGCTTGTAGATCGGGTGTTCGGGATACTTTTTCTTCGTAATTCCTTCCATTTCCTTGGAAACACGAGCGGAAGAACCATCCCCGACGGCATCGTCATGTGCGGAGGCGGAACTAGACGAAGAACTAGGAGACGACATGGTTTCGAGAGGGAACTAGCAAAACCCAAAAGGGTTTTTGAAAGAGAATTTGGTAGAAATGAAAGATGGGGAGCACAAATGGGGGATTTGTGCTCCCCAACCTCTTGGTGGTTTGCCATAAAGGTATGGGTTTTCTAGATGCTAAGCGGTGCAGTGAGGTTTGTGTTCAATTTTGGTTGGGGGGTTATCAAATTTGCATGGGGGGCTGGTTTCTATGGTCAAAATGGGTGGGAGGGGGTGCAAATGTCGCGAAATTGAATTTCGCATCGAAATCGCGAAATTCAATTTCGCCCGCGCGAAATATTTTTTTCCGGGCTGACCGAAAAAAAAATACCCAAGCGTCTTCCGCAACATAGCGTCAGAGCAGGCAGTTGGGCGAGGGGCGAGAAACGAGGGGCGAGGGGCGAAGGGGCGAAGGCGGATTGTGGTGGGCCTTTGCAGGCTCACTAGTTGCGCGGCACAGCAGGCTCACCGATTGCAAGGCAGCGGAGGGCTGTCCTTATTCACCCTCTGTCGCACCAGCTGCAGCATTCCCCACATGTCTAGCCCATGGGGCGAGGTGTGTTTTGAGTCGACTCAAAGTGCTCACCAATTGCAGCAAGGCAGCGGAGGGCTGTCTCTCGTCCACCCTCTGCCTCGCCAGCTGCAGCATTCCCCGCACGTCCATCCCGTATGGCTAAAGCAGCTATCCGCTAATACGAGCACGCGGATTGTAATGGTTTGTTGAAGTGGAAGTAGGCGCAGGCTCACCAGTTGCTAGACAGAGGCTCACCAGTTGCAGGGCAGCAGAGGGTTGCCCCTCGTCCACCCTCTGTCGCGCCAGCTGCAGCATGCCCCGCACGTCCAACCCGTGGGACGAGGGACCTCCCTGAAACGCGGGATTCGCCATGGACTGATGCGGTATCGGCTACAGCGAATTGAGATTTCCCGCCTTGCGAATGTGCGTGCAGTAGTGGAGGGAAGTCACGGTCGTTTGCTGGATTCCCGCGGGCCAGAGGGCTGCGAATGAACATGTGGCAGTGGATGAGGAGGAGGGAAAAAGCGGGAGGAGAGGGGAGAAGGAGAGGGGAGAAGGAGAGGGGAGGGGGAGAAGGGAGGGGGAGAGGGGAGGGGAGAGAAGAGAGGGGAGAGAGGAGAGAGGAGAGGGGAGAGGGGAGAGGGGAGAGGGAAGAGGGGAGAGGGGAGAATGAGAGGGTAGAAGGAGAGGGGAGAAGGGGACGGGAGAGGAAGGGGGGGGAAGGAGAAGGGATAAGTGGAGGGCAGCGCGGGGGGGGAGAGAGGAGAGGAGAGGGGAGAGGAAGAGGAGAGAAGGAGACGGGAGAGGAAAGGGGAGAGGGAGTGGGGAGAGGGAGAGGGGAGAGGAGAGGGGAAAGGGAGAGAGGGGAGGGAGAGGGGAGAAAGAGCATGAATGGAAGGAAGTGTGGGGAGAAATGAAGAAAGCGTAGGTGAGAGAAAGACGGCCGTGATGCCAGCAGGCAGAGGGAAGTAACGGGGCTAAGGGCGAAGCAGCAGAAAGAATGCGAGTTTACTCAAAAGAGCGAGGAGGAAGAGGTGCGAGAACGCTAATCTGACGCAACTGGCGCGCAGTGAGGCGATCGATGAATGAAACGCGTCCGTTGCGACAGATTAAACGCGTCCGTTGCGACAGATTAAACGCGACAGTTGCGACAGATTTAATTGAAGCGGCGATGAACAGAGAAGCCAGATAGCAACGTGACGAAGTCACTATTGCGAATGTTTTGAGAGTAACTGCAGTAAGGCGCGAGTGCAGATGGCGATGACGCAGAGCTGAGCGGCTGCTAGCGAAAGAAAAGGGCTGCTAGGGCGTGTAACCAAACACTCGCATTCGCTCAATACCCAAACCAACCGTTCTAGATGCAGAATCGAACGCGCTAAACCACAAATCACCTCGTGACTCGACCTCTATCAGGTGTGTACGTTTGGGACGATAGACTGCGCGGCTTCTGAAGGCGTGACTCGGACGCAGCTTACTGATCACCGTAAAGCCGCTCACGCACCTGGCAAGATGGCAAGCGATCCGGGATGCTTTGACGGAGCAAGATGACCAAAAGTGATAGGAAGATACTACGCTAACTTGATGTGAAGAACTAGAAATGGAAGTAGGGTCTGTTGGAGGTAGGGTCTTAGAAAGCTGGACATCTACGTAAAGTCTGATGCGAAGATCCTCAAACCGTACTAGAGCACATACCACATAATCGCAACGAATGCTAGGATACGTGGGAACAGCCTATAGAGAAGACGTGCCTAGTATAAAGAATTGGTGGAGGGAGGAGGTCAGAGCCAGTGCTGCCGAATTATGGCGTGATCTGTCAATGAATGGGTGCCCTTCGTACTCTCAACGGCCTGATTGGATGCTCAAGTTTGAGAGCACCGAGAAGTGAATCACAAGAACCGTCGCGTAACTTCTATCACGTACTATTTAAGATCTACCGAGAAACCTTTGCTGCTTCCTTGCACGTTTCGTGGACTACATCAAAACGCGGATCTTCCCGAGGGTTGCAGGCATGTATTCTCAGGGTGGAAGTTCGACCCTCAACCACGCCAGGTTCAAGCAAAAAACTTCTGCACCCTCTCCAGCCGCATACAACCCCGTAACAGAAATGATCCAGAGGCAAACCGAACAAGGCCTTCCTTTGACAACACCCCGCGACGAGATACGTGTAATAACGCGTACGTAGCCATATGATCGTGTAGCAGTGCCAACCTCTCGTTGGGGATAAAAATACACTGTCATCGTCATCAGGTGCTGGTGTCACGTCATCCGTAGTTCACGGCGGCTGATCCCGTCAGCGCGTTGATCGCGTGACTCGCGTGCGGTGCTCGATTGGGGCCGTGGCTCCTCTCTCCTTCATGGCCTCCTTTTGGCGCATGCCGAATGATCTGCTATTGCACTGAATCACAAGTGTTGTGCAACGTCTCACTCTCACGACGCGCGTCGGTGAGCTAGATTAGGACAGTGGCTCGTCCCTCCTTCGATGCCTTCCATCTGCCGCACGTCGAGCCATCCGTTGGTGCATTAAAGCAGAGGCAGAAAAATAAGCAGGCACAAGATAGAACAGTAATGGCGGTGGTTTCACCTTAAAGACACCATTAAGTTTTTTAATACGCGAAATCCTTCCCTCATGGCTTCCACGTGTCTTACGTCGCAGCATCCCGTAGGGCTCGGCGCACCAGAAGCTGCCTGTAGCACACTCCTCTCTCGCTCCTCGTGTTCTAGGCTTATAACTAGTATTCGCAAAAGAAGCCTGCAACCAGCAGCTGTCTGTAGACGAATTGCTGCTCGTCCTTCAATACAATCACTTCGCGACCACCCTGCAAGCTGGACCCGCGTCGCTACACGGAGATCGCGTAACCCGCCTCTCAGCCCCACAGCTGCACCCCTTTCAAAATTGCCCACAGCCACAGGGGAACGATTTCTTTCTTCACGGATCAGCCACAGCGGTAGTCTCAAGGCAGGACTGACGTCACGGGGGCGCCTGATCCCCGTAGCGATTGGCCACAGCTGCAGTGTCAAGGCTAGTGGCGGCAGTAATGGTTCGTGTAGAAGCAGGAGTGACGTCAGTGCTGACGTACCCATCACCGACGAAGCTTCTGCGGAGCCTTCGCAAAGGAATCCCAGGGATCGCCGATTGGAGGCAGATGGTAGCAGATTGAGAGAGAATGTGGTGGAGGCCGATGAGGTGCAGAACGAGGGGGATCAAGGCTCGGATAAGCATGTGGAGGCATGTGGAAACTGTCCGAGGGGGGGTTTGCAGGGGATGGGGGTGGATGAGACGGGACATGACGGGGTTGAGGTGCAGAGCGAGGGGAAGCAGGGCGCAGATGAGGCGGGGAGTGTTGCGGAGCTGGGTTGTTTGCAGAGTGGGGTTTGGCAGGGGACAGGGATGGACGAGGAGGGGGTGGGGGATGGTGGCGCTGAAACGGATCAGTTTGTAATGAGGACGTTGCTGATTGACAACTACGACAGCTACACCTTCAACCTCTACCACCTTCTCGCTGACGTCAATGGAGGTGCGTGGTTGGATGAGTGTTTGAGCGTGTAAGATCAATAACCTACGCTGCGTGTGTGATTGTAACTGTGGCTTTCAAGCAGACAGAAAGTTGTCTCCTTGCAGCAATGGAGGTGCTGGTGTGCGTGGGTGGGTGTTTGAGCTTGTAAGAGTATGTGGATGGATGTGCATGTTGGAGGTTCGTGGATGGATGTGGAAGGAGGTAGAGGTGTGTGAATGGAGGTGTTTGAATGGAGGTGACTGTATCGAGTGGATATGGATGTGCCTTGCCTGCTGCGCCAACGCATTGCTCCCTCTTCATACACGCATGCGTCTCTCTCCCACTTCCCCCATGACCCACCCATCCCATCCACCTGCAGTCCCCCAGTGGTCGTGCATAACAACGTGGGCTCCTGAAGTACCTCAGGCACCTGCAGCTGCGTCAAAACCTCTCTTCCCCTCCACATCCCTCTATACCTGCCCGCATCTCCCCCATCCCTCTGCCCCTCTCCCTCCCACTCTCTGCCTCCTTTCTTCCCATTCTCTGCCCCTCTCCCTACCTGCATGCATATCCCTCCCACTCTCTGCCCCTCTCCCTCCCCTCTCTGCCCTTCTCCCCCCTCTCCCTCCCTCTCTGCCATGTCTCGCATTCAGTCCCCCCAGTGGTGGTGAGAAACGACGAGGTGTCCTGGCCGTACCTCAGGGATTTGCTGCTGCATCGGCGCCTCTTTCATGCCATTGTCATCTCACCCGGCCCTGGCACACCCTGCTGCCCTGCCGATATCGGTGTGTGTGCGTGTGTGGGTAGTGTGTGCCCTGGCACACTCTGCGCTGCTTTGCTTTGTTGTGCTATCGTTGGTGTGTGGATATCGCTAAGTGCTTGGGTGGGCAGTGTGTATTCAAGGTACCTCTCAGGCACCTGCTACTCCATCCATCGGCGCCTCTTCCACGCCATTGTTATCTCACCTGGCCCCGGCACACCCTGCTGTGCCGCCGATATTGGTGCGTCGGTTGGCAGTATCCTGTGCTGTCATTGGTGAGTGGACAATGTCCGTGCTGCATTCTCATCAATACACACCTGGCCCCGCTTCTCCACTAGCACCTCTTCCACACCATCGTTATCTCACCTGGCCCCGGCACGGCACGCCGTGCTGTGCTGCTGATATCAGTGAGTAGTTAAGTAGTGTGCTGTGCAGTTCTGTGCGGTGCTGCGCTGTACTGCCATGGGTACCTTTTGCTGCACCAGCGCCTCTTCCACTACATCGTCATCTCACCCAGCCCTGGCACACCCTGCTGTGCCGCCCATATCGGTGTGTGCGTGTGTGGGTAGTGTGTGGGTAGTGTGTGGGTAGTGTGCAGTGCTGTCGTTAGTGTGTGGGTAGTGTGTGGGTAGTGTGTGGGTAGTGTGTGGGTAGTGTGTGGGTAGTGTGCAGTGCTGTCGTTAGTGTGTGGGTAGTGTGTGGGTAGTGTGTGGGTAGTGTGTGGGTAGTGTGTGGGTAGTGTGTGGGTAGTGTGTGGGTAGTGTGTGGGTAGTGTGTGGGTAGTGTGCAGTGCTGTCGTTAGTGTGTGGGTAGTGTGCAGTGCTGTCGTTAGTGTGTGGGTAGTGTGCAGTGCTGTCGTTAGTGTGTGGGTAGTGTGCAGTGCTGTCGGTAGTGTGTGGTTATCAGTGTGTGCTGTGCCGTGCTGTGTCGTATTCATGACCCGTGTTTTCCTCCCTGTTGCTGGGTGCGTGTGACTGGCAGTCTGGTTGCCTGTGCTTGTGTCTGCTGGTGGTTGGTTGATTCTGCTTGGCTTGTGAACCGGAGTGTGTGCGGACGTGCACTAGCGGCCTAGACTCTCTTCTTTTTCATACTCCGTGTCTCCCTGCTGCCACTGTGTATGTGTGTGTGTGAGTGGCTGGCTGACTGTGCATGGCGCGTGAGCAGGAGTGTGTGCGGACGTGCTGAGGGAGTGTACGGACATCCCGATTCTCGGAGTGTGCATGGGCCATCAGGTACGGACAGCAGTTATTTAGTCGGTAAAAAAACAAAGGCTTTAGAGTGTGCATGGCCATTATCAGGTACAAATAAGCAGCATATTATGTTGGCGATGTATGCTTGCTATCCTCTGTGACACTCTTGCCTTGTCCCTCTCTACGCGCATTCATTCTTCATGCCTCATCATCATGTTTTCTGCAGTAGCCTGTTGTTATCTCATCACAAATGCGTCCCTCGTTGTTATCTCATCACAAATGCGTCCCTCGTTGTTATCTCATCACAAATGCGTCCCTCGTCTACGGTGCCTCTCCCCGCTGGCCTACCTGCCTGCTGCCACTCTGCCACTGCTGCCAATATTGCTTGCCTCTCTGCTGGTTCATACAGGCCCTGGCAGCACTGAACGGAGGCCAGGTGGTGCCCGCACCAGAGCCTGTGCATGGAAGGCTCAGGTATGCGCCGGGTGGTGTACAAAGCATGTGATGCATGGCATGGCATGGCATGGCATGGCATGGCGTGGTTTGGCATGGCATGGCATTACACATTATTGATCTGATATCCATGGAGGCCAGGTGGTTTCGGCACCAGAGCCATGCATGCATTTCATTTCATGGATGGGAGGCCTGTGCAGGTAGGTGTGGCGTAATGTTCAGGGTGCATGCATACACACCTTGAACATAATTTTGTATGTTTCCCAAAAGTGACTCACGTTTTCGGTGTTCAGATCAAATCTCTCCATTCCTTCCAGACTGCCCTTTCTAGAGCATTCTTTCAAGAGCATCCTTTCCGTTTTCCCATCCCATGCTGATGCTGTCACATACATGCAGTGGCGTGGAGCACACGGCTCATCCTCTCTTCACCAACATTCCGTCTGGCTCTCTTTTCCAGGTGCCTCTCCTCCCCACGTCTCCCAGCTAAATTCAACTTGTTCTTGAGTTTTTCAAAAATCTGCTTGCATCTAACAAGTCATCCTCTCTCTCCACCTGCTCACTCTCGCCCATCTCCCGCCATGCTTCCATGCTGTGTGCATGCACCACAGGTGGTGCGCTATCACTCCCTTGCTGTCCACTGGGCCTCCCTTCCGAAGGACTTAGAACCCATCGCCTGGACCACCAATGATCCCCTTTCCACCCACATCGCTTCACCCGCAGCACCACCAGCAGCCCCACGCTCTGTTGCGGATGCACAGGCAGCAAATGGGGCTTTTGAGACGTCTCAAAAGCCACGCTCTGTTGCGGATGCACAGGCAGCAAATGGGGCGATGACTGCAGGATCTGATTTGGTGAACGGGCCGGCGATTGCGGGAGCAGCTGTGATCAATGGGGCAGTGAATGGGGCTAGTAGTGGTGTGCAGGCAGAGAGTGGTGAGGGGACAGAAGTTCCGAAAGGGAGTGTTGTGGTTGTGAACGGGATGGTGGCACCACATCAGTATCATCAACAGCAGCATCGACAGCAGCAGCAGGAGCAGCTGCAAAAATTGAGTAGAGTCATTATGGGTTTGGCACACAAGAGACGGCCACATGTGGGAGTGCAGGTGGGTTGCTGGTGGCTACAGACGTGCTGGTTGCAATATTGCGAGTGTATTCACGACGTGCTTATGGGCATTGCTGGTACCGTAGCTTCTTGTTCCTCGTTTCTTCCCTAATCCGTTTCTCCCCTCCTTGGTTTCTTGCCTCCGCCGCTTCTTGTACTGCAGTTCCACCCTGAGAGCATCGGCACATCGTATGGGCGGCAACTGCTGATGAACTTCAAGGCCCTTGCAGTGAAGGCGATTCAGGAGAGGGATGGGCGGAGAGATGAAAGGAAGAATGAGAGGGCGAGGGGAGAAGGGCGAGAGATGAGCAAAGAGAGGGAGAGGGTGAGGGAGAAAGGAGTTGGGTCAATGTGCCGAAATGGCTCTGTCAAGGTAGCAGTAGGAGCAGCAGCAGCGTCAGTAGCATCCGCAGCACCATCAGCAGCAGCAGCAGCACCATCATCATCAGCAGCAGCGGCAGCAGCAGCAACAACGGAACTAGTAGGAACGGTAGAAAGATATGCAGCAGGAGTAGCAACAGGAGGTGGGGCTTTGCGGTCGCAGCTTGACTTGATGGCACGGGTAAGCATGGTTTGGTTACTCACCTGCTGTATCCTCTCTTGTCTGCTCTCTCTCTCTCTCTCTCTCTCTCTCTCTCTCTCTCTCTCTCTCTCTCTCTCTCTCTCTCTCTCCTCCCACCCAACATGTGGTTCAAGTCGGCTCAAAGCTGCTTCTTTTTTTTGTCGAATCAAATCGCAGCTTGATTTGACGGCGTGAGTGGCGACGTGAGGAAGCATCGCGAGCAGCTGCGCCCTCTTTTGCATGCCCTCCCCTCCCCTCCAACCTATTGCTGAGTCGACTCAAAGATTAGCATCTCATACAGCAAGTGCGCTCTTTCTTGTGTTGCAGCCTCGCTAGCCCAACCCAAACTGCATCCACCATATCTTGCTGCAACCTGATGCTTCCTTGTCTTCTACTCACCACACAAGTGCTCCACTCTGCTTGAGAAGTTTCAGTTTCAATCGCAAGGCCACATGATGTGAAGGCAGCATGCCCATGACACCATTCCCACTGCCTTCCCTACTCTCCACTTCCCACCTGCCGCCCAGCTGTGTGTGCCAGCCAGAGACGGCTCTATGATGTGCGGCAGAGACATGGACCTGGGCGGCAAAGGCTTGGGCGGCAAAGTCTTGGACGGCAGAGATTTGGGCGGCAATGATGTTGAGGCCACGATGGTACAACAAGGAAATGGTTGGCCTGCGTCTTTTAGTGGGCTGCCACCGTCGTTACCAAGCAGCAGATCTCTACAGTCATCAGCATCAGCACCATCATCAGCATCAGCAGCAGCAACAGCACCATCACAACCATCACACCCATCACCACCAGCATCAGCATCAGCAACAGCAACAGCTACAGTATTCTCTCCACCAAAATCCCTTCGTCTGAAAGTGACTCGACTCGATGGTTTTCTTCACAAATTGAGTGACGCACTGGCTGCAGCAGCAGCAGCAGCAGCAGCACCATCTGCAGCATCATCATCACCACCACCATCAGCATCAGCACCATCATCGTCACGAGCAGCAGCGGCTATCTTCACCCATCTGTTCGCCCAGCAAGGGGAGAGCTACTCCGACACTTTCTGGCTTGACAGCGCATCCACACACCAGGTGTGTTCCCTTCCGCACACACACCAGGTGTGTTCCCTTCCGCACACACACCAGGTGTGTTCCCTTCCGCACACACACCAGGCCCCTTTTGTGCACCAGCTGGTTAGGATAGAACGGGTGTATTGTCGCCCAGCAAGGGGAGAGAGAGCCACTCCGACACTTTCTGGCTTGACAGCGCATCCACACACCAGGTGTGTGCGCTTGCGACAGTAGATGCCACTAGATAGATGCCCACTAGGTGCCACCAGGTGCGTGTGCTTGTAACAATGCATTCGCACACGTTTCTCCTACATGAGAGCATGAGGGGTTCCCCTCTGTTCCTAGCTCACATGTGAACTGCTGGTTACCACTGCCAGTTGACCCTCCGTTCTCCTTCTCTTGCCCTCTATAACTGCCCTCATCATACTGTCTCATCTCCTTTCCATCCGCTCCTGGCAGGGCTTGGCGCGCTTCTCCTACATGGGTGGCCGGGGGGGTCCCCTCTGGTCCAAAGTCACGTACCAACTGGCTGCCGAACCTCCCCTGGCCACTGAACCTCCTTTGCCAGCCGAACCTCCTTTGCCAGCCGAACCTCGTTTGACAGCAGCACCTCCGTTGCCAACTGAACGTCCTTTGCCGAGCCACACAGAGAATGGGAGTGGCAAAGGCAGTGCAAGCAACGGCACTAGTAGCACTGAACCTGACAGCAGCAAGAGCAAGAGGGAGCACAGCTCTGCCAGTGGAAACAGTAGCAGCAGTAGCAACAGAAGTGTTAACCCTGACATTAGCAGCAACGATAGCAGTAGAAGCAGCTGTAGCAGCGGCGCAATTACTAATGACAATCGTAACAATGGCAGCAACGGTAGCAGCAGCAGCAGTAACGGTAGCAGCAACAGCAGCAACGGTAGCAGTGGCAGCAATCGTAGCAGCAGCAGCAGAAGCCAGCCCACATTAAACGGGGGTGGCACATTCGATAGAGTCACAGGCGGCACTCTCCGATTGGAGAGCAGCGAGGGCGATGTGACTATAGTGAAGGAGGGCACATGGGAGGGCGGCATCTTTAGCTTTCTTGAAGAGGTGAGCTGCTCGGGGCTTTAAAAGCTTGGAGTTGTGAGGCAGTGCTTTCAGCATTCGGCAATGTGGTGTGACTATGGCGAAGGAAGGGACGTGGGAGGGCGGCATCTTTAGCTTACGGGAAGAGGTGAGTTGCTAGGGGCTTCTAAGGCATAGAGTTGTGTCGGGTAATCATCAGTGTTCGGGATGGCCATTACGGCATTTAGTTAGCAACCAGGCTTTTGTGTAGCGTCAAACTGTTGCGTGCTGTCCATACTTTTTTTATTTCTGCTGCTTATCCATCCCTTTCTTTCTTCACTTCCCTCTCCCTCCTCCCCAACCAACAGCACCTGCAGCAGCACCAGTGTGCACCACACAAGGCCATCTCTCTGCCCTTCTCTGGTCACACTTCTTACCCATCCCTCCCAACCCTCCTCTGGCCCCCTCCTTCGTTTCACCCCTGCCCTCTCTTTCCCCCCCCCCCTTAACAGCACCTGCAGCAGCACCAGTGTGCACCACACGAGGCTGCTGGTCTTTCCTCTTATCGCACATTTTCAGGCACTGCTTTTTATCCATCTCCTTATCTCACCACCCAACCCCCCCCCCCACCCCCCCTGTCAACAGCACCTGCAGCAGCAGCAGTGTGCACCGCACGAGGCTGCGGCTCTCCCCTTCGACTTCTGTGGCGGTTGGGTCGGCTATTTTGGGTAAGTCTAGTGATGCTGCTACTGTGGGACTTCTAGAAATAGTGATGCTTCTACTGTGCGATTTTGGGTAAGAGTGGGTTATGTTTTATTGATGCTTCAGTGATGCTATTATGGGGTAAGCTGGCTGGTGGGCTATGCTGCAGTGATGCTTCGGTACTGCTGTTTTGGGTAAGTCAGTCCGATTTTCACATAAGTCAGTGCTGCTGTTGAGGCGTCTTAGATCAGAAGTCATCTGCCAGTCTCTTTCATCCTGCTGGCCACTACACTACACCCTCAACAGGATGAAAGAGACTGCCAGTTGACTTCGGACATGCCAGTCTCTTTCATCCTACGTAGCCAAACTAAAATTGTGCTGACATGCTGTGAGACGGTTTTCAAGGCGCCTTAGAAAATCGCTACAATGTTGTGTAACCAAAACCAAATTTGTGTTGGGGTGCATGAGAATTTTCAATGTTTTGAGAATTCTCATAAACCAGCTCGGTGCATGTGTGCATGCATCAGGTGAACCGTGAAGTGGTGTTACCATCTCATGGCGCAGATTACTTCATGCGCCACTAGAAGTATTCTCATGGCGCAGATTACTTTCTAGTGGTGTGTCGACCATGCCTGGTGCCCAAGACATACTTCCGTGCCATGCCATGCCATGCTTTGCCTTGCCTTGCCTTGCCCTGCATGCTTGTATGCAGGTACGAGCTGAAGAGGCAGTGTGAGAGCTCAACCGCCACAGGTCTCCCTTTCCAGATGCAGCGCTGTCATATGCCTTGACTTGTCGTGTCATGACTTGCCACACCTTCCCCTGCATGCAGGTACGAGCTGAAGAGGGAGTGCGGGGCGGAGCACAACCGCCACGGGTCGCCCCTTCCGGCCCTTCTGGACTAATCACTATGCTTTGACTTGCCTTGACTTGCCTTGACTTGCCTTGACTGGCCTTGCCTTGCCTTGCCTTGCCTTGCCTTGCCTTGCCTTGACTTGCCATGCCCTGCTGTGCTTGCATGCAGGTACGAGATGAAGAGGGAGTGCGGGGCGGAGCACAACCAACACATTTGAGACGTCTCAAAAGTCGGAGCACAACCACCACAGATCGCCCTTCCCAGATGCTGCTTTGTCTGTACCCTGGCTTGCCTTGCCTTACCTCACCTTGCTTGAGTGCGTGCAGATATGAGCTGAAGAGGGAGTGTGGAGCGGAGCACGACTGCCACAGATCACCCTACCCGGATGCAGTATCGTACCGTCCTACCCGTGCCACACCTTGCCTTTCCTGCATGCAGGTACGAGCTGAAGAGGGAGTGCGGGGCGGACCACAACCGTCACAGGTCGCCCTTTCCGGACGCGGCTCTCTTCTGTGTGGACCGATGGGTGGTGCTGGATCATGGTAGTGGGGATGTGTATGTGTGTGTTGTGGAGGAGAAAAGTGGTGCGAGGGAGAAAAATTATGGTGGATCAACCCAGAAGGACCATGGAAAGGGGGATGTGTATGTGTGCGCTGCTGAGGAGAGAAGCCAGGAGGGAGAGAAGGGTGGGGACAAAGGTGAGCAAAGAGGGAAAGATCCGCTGGAGAGAAGGGGAAGGGAGGAACTAGGTGGGGGGAGAGGCCAGGGTAGGGACGAGAACAGGAGTTGTAGCGGCGGCGGTGCTAGTGACGGTGCGTATGCTGATCATGTGCAGGCTAATGAGTTGACTGACAGTACGTTGGCTCTAATGTCATCTCGTTGCAGCGACAGTGGTGGTGGGGGTGCCACTAGTGGTGCTCTGTATGCTGATCATGTGCTTCGATGCGGAGCAGAGAGGGGAGAATGGAGAGAGGCAAGCGAGAGGAGAGGATGGGAGAGAATAGGGGACAGCAGTGGAGAGGAAACGGATGGGTGCAGATGGGTGGCTGAGACGAGTGAGAAGCTGACGGCTCTGGTGGAAGGAGAGGAAGCAGCAGCAGCAGAGGCAAGGGCCACGCAGACAAGTTGTTGTAGCCAGGGAGATTCAAGGGATTCAAGAGAAGCTGTAGAGGGCTTGACAGTACACTCAGCTAGAGGGAATTCGGCAAGAGACGATGCAGAGGGGCTTACAGTTCTGTCAGAGCCCCTGGTGCTGAAGAGGTGTAGAGAGCGGTACAAGGCTGATGTGGCGGGGTGCCTGGGGGAGATTGCCAAGGGGGAGAGCTATGAGCTGTGCCTCACCACCCGCCTCGAGAGCGAATCTCAGCCGTTGGATCCGCTCGGGGCGTATCTACGGCTGAGGGAGCGGAACCCTGCTCCGTTTGCTGCGTGGATGTGCATGGGTGAGATAAGTCAGTATTGCATGGGTGAGGGGAGAGAGTCAGAATTGAATCTGGCTGCGGCGGAAGAAGAAGAGGAGGGGGTGGGAGTGGAGGAACAAGGGGAGAGGCAGGTGGATGGGGGGGAAGAGACGAAAAGTCTGGGGGAAGAGGAAAAGCAGCAGCAGCCGCAGCAGCAGTCACAGGAGCACGACCACCACGCTGTGCTCCGCGCCCCCTTTGCCCTCTGCTGCTCCTCCCCAGAGCGGTTTCTGCGGGGCGATAGGCAGGGCATGCTGTGGGCCAAGCCCATCAAGGGCACTGTGAGGCGCGGGGCGACGGAGGAGGAGGATGAGATGCTGAAGAGAGAACTCATGCTCAGGTGAGTCCTAAGGGCTTGTAACAGCTGGACTGGTGTTGGCATGAAGGAGGCATGCTGTGGGCCAAGCCCATCAAGGGCACTGTGAGGCGCGGAGCAACGGAGGACGAGGATGAGCGGCTGAAGAGAGGGCTCATGTGCAGGTGAGAGTGTTTAGGGTTTAAGCAAGAGCTTTTCCCTTTTCGGTGCGAAATTGCGGTCGCATAAGGAGAGGCAACCTGTGGGCGAAACTGATCAAGGTCAGTGTGAGGCGCGGAGCGACAGAGGAGGAAGATGAGAGGCTGAAGCGGGAGCTCATGTGCAGGTGAGGGTCTTGCAGTTCAGATAAGACCTTTTGAGATGTCTCAAAAGTCAGATAAGACCTTGGTTAGTTCCAAGAAAGGGACAGTGGTTGCGTAGGAGAGCCATGATGTGGGCGACGCCTTCAATGGCACCACATTAAGAAATGCTAAGGGCGGCGAGATCTCGAGGACCCTGAAGGTTATTTGTAACTTTCTCCTGTGTTGGTCTGCCATGCTCACATGTTTCGTTCCTCCTTGTTTGATTTTCTCCTCCCAACCCCTCCCAACTATTCACCCCGCTCAGTGACAAGGACCGGGCAGAAAACCTCATGATCGTTGATCTTCTCCGGAACGATCTCGGGCGAGTCTCAACCGTCGGATCGGTGCACGTCCCGTCACTCATGGCCGTTGAATCATACGCCACTGTTCATCAGCTCGTGAGCACTGTAGCAGCACGGCGCCGCCCGGACCTCTCCCCAGTGGCCTGCATCCGGGCGGCGTTCCCGGGCGGCTCGATGACCGGGGCACCGAAGATAAGATCTATGGAGATCTTGGATGAGATCGAAGGGTCGGCTAGGGGACCTTATTCGGGAGCCTTGGGGTTTGTTTCGTTTTCGGGCACCTTTGATCTGAATATTGTGATTCGAACGGCTGTGATGGGTGGAGAGCTGGGGGATGGATTGGAGAGGGGGGAACAAGCAGGGGAGGATGGGGAGGCAGAGGAGGGGGGTCTGAAGACCTGGGAAAGGGAGGGAGGAGGAGCGAATGGAGAAGAGGATTGGATAGGGGGTGAAGAGGGGGAGAATGGGGCAAGAAAAGCTGTTGTGAAATGGAAAAGGGGCAGACGAAAGGGCAGGACGATGATTGGAGCAGGAGGGGCGGTGGTGATGTTATCGGAGCCAGAGAGTGAGTTTGAAGAGATGGTGCTTAAAGCGAGGTCTCTGGTGAGAGTGCTCCGACCAGATGGAGCTGATGATTTGAACGGGGTGTGATTGGCCGATGTGATTGGCCAATGAGGACGTACGGGGTATCTGCTTCCTATCGTCTTCACTTGGGTGCAAGTCACTGGTCGTGGTCACTCATGGACTGGAAATGTAGATATTATTTTATCTGGGAGTCAGGCACTTCAAGGTTCCCCGTTCATTGTGGCCAAACATGATCCTGACTTTATGGCCACCTTTGAGTTTATTATGTTTTTATTAAGCGCAGGTGATCTGGAGTAACGCTCTTTGTTGTTGCCTGTTACGAGTGCAATTGAGTGAGCGAGAATTGCACTATCGAAGCAAGAGTACAATGAGCGAAGGCATGAGCGAAGAATATATAGCGAAATTACAGTGGTAATGGTAATGTGTGAAAATGGGGAGCGCGACAGGCCTAGCGCCGAGGTTGGGAATTCTCGAGGCGGAGGTCTGGAGCGCGGGTTACCAACCGAACCGTGAGGTTGGGTCGCGTCGTGAACAGTGGTGGGAACAGTATCGAAGCGAGTGTCGCGAGTGGCAACGGTTTTACAGTTAGGTGCTGTTGGCGGGAACAGTGGTGTACGCGCTGAGCAGGGACGCGAAGTAAGGAAAATGAATTTTCCTTACACTACCCCCCCCCCCCCCCCCCCCCCTAAGGATGCCCTCCTTACGAAAGCGCGTGTACATCGCGAAAATTTTGGCTGCGCAGATACTCGGTGAGGACGGGGTGGCTTTCAATTCTGTCCAGGGGAACCCAGTTGTCCTCGGTGGGCGTGCGGTCTTTCCAGCGGATCAGAAATTCGATCCTGCGAGCTCCTCGTGGGTCGCGAACTCGGTGGCTCAGGATTTTCTCTGGCGTGATGATTGGTTCTGTCGGCGGTCGTGTCATGCTGGCTGGGCGGTTGCGAGGCAGTTGGCTGGTGGATGGTACGTAAGGTCGGAGCAGGCTGACGTGGAAGGACGGGCTAACATACCAGTCAGCAAGGAGGAGGAGGTGGGCGGTGACAGGTGTTATCATGTGGCTGATGCGAAATGGCCCGCAATATCGGGGGCGGAGTTTTGGGGTGATGGGCAGGCGGAGGTTCTGAGTATCGAGTAGTACGAGGTCGTCGGGTTGGTATGTGACAGGTCGGCGGTGGCGGTCGCCGTTGCGCTTAGCGATGATGTTCGATTTTTTTATTGCGTCAGCTGCTCGGGTTCGTGCTGCTTGTAAAATTTCGGCGAACTATTGCGCGCGTGGCACCGGGTTGTCGGGATTCGGAGTCATGGGTACTATGGGGTCTTGTCCGTAGTTCAGGTAAAACGGTGACTGTTGGGTCGTGGCAGACAGCGAATTGTTGTACGCGAACTCGATGAGTGGCAGTTGCTGTTCCCAAGTGGTCGGGTCATCACACGTGGCTCGAATGAGTTGCTCCATGGTCTGATTCGCCCGTTCTGTCTGTCCGTCGGTTTCGGGGTGGTACGAAGAACTAAACTGTAGTCGTGTGCCGAACTGCTACCACAGGTTCCGCCAGAAGTTGTTGGTGAATTTCGTGTCACGGTCGCTGATGATCGCTGCTGGTATCCCGTGTAGTCGAACGACGGTGGAGATGAAAAGGCGGGTTATTTCTTCGGCTGTGATTGGTTTTTTGCAGGCTACGAAATGTGCCATTTTCGTCAGCCGATCGACGACGACCAGGATCGTGTCGTTCCCACTTGGTCCGGCCGGTAATCCCGTGACGAAGTCCATCGTCACCTGCTGCCAAGCACGCTCTGGGGGTGGTATCGGCTGCAACTGTCCTGCCGGCCGCTTCCGTAATGATTTCATTAATTGGCAGGTGAGACAAAATGCCACGTGTCGTTGCACGTCGGTCAGCATCTCGTGCCAGTAATAATACCGCTGCAGCTGCTGCCGTGATTTTTCTACTCCGAAATTGTCTGAGGTAACTCCGTCATGTGCCTCCTGTAGCAGTAATTCCCGTAGTAACGTGTAGCCCGTTACCCAGATGCGGTCGGTGCCGGCTTTTACGTAATAAACTCCCTTTGCTGCTGCGAACTGCTGCGAATTTCCTCCTGTGACGAATGAGTCGGTTTGATAGCCGTAGGTAAATTGTCCAGTCAGTAGCGAGCTCGTCTGGGCGAATAGTATGGCGTGGATTTGGGCAGTGGGGCGGGTCAGTGCGCCAGCGATGTTCGATGCCCCCTTTTTGTAGGTGACAGTGTAGTGGAAATTTGACTTGAGGAAATCGAGCAAGCGAATCTGTCGTGGGTTGAGGTGGGGCTGTGGGCGGAGGTACTGTAGTGATTTGTGGTCTGTCCATACTATCGCGTCTGCGCCGCTCAAGTAACAGCGCCACACTTTGAATGCGTGCACGATCGCGAGCATTTCGCGGTCGTGTATCGGGTAATTTTTCTCGGGCGGATGTAGTTTTCGTGACTCGTATGCGATGGGTTGTAGGCCGTTGCTGAAATCCTGTAGCAGTACGGCTCCAATGGCGATGTCGCTTGCGTCGGTTACCACTTCGAATGGGCGGTGTGGGTCGGCGATGCGCAGTACGGGCGGTGAACAGAGAACAGTTTTCATGGCAGAGAAGGCAGCATGCTCCTTCTCCCCCTACGTAAAAACGACCCCCTTCCGCAGTGGATCCGTCAGTGGGGCTGTTAACCTCGCCATGTCGGGAACGAACTGACGCACATAATTAACGAACCCCACAAAACTCTGCAGCTCCGTGATATTTGTCGGGGGGTGCCACGCTTTCACCGTGTCTAGCTTCTTTGGGTCGATCTCGACCCCAGCCTCTGAAATAACGTGCCCCATAAATTCTAGCCTATCCTGAAAGAACTCGCACTTGGAACCCTTGGTCAGTAGGCGGCGCTCGTCTAAAATTTTAAATACTGCTTCCAGGTCTGCTAAGTGCTGCTACTTATCGCGACTGTAGACGAGGATGTCGTTGAGGTAAACTATCACGCATTTATCTAAGAGTGGCCTAAACGCCTTGTTCATGGTCATCTGAATTGTAGCCGGTGCGTTGGTCAGCCCGAAAGGTATCACGGTGTACTCGAATGACCCGTACCTAGTCCTAAATGCCATCTTGGCGCAGTCCGATGGTTCGATCCTGGTCTGATGGTAACCGCCCCGTAAATCAATTTTCGAAAAGACCCGTGCTGTTCGCAGTTGATCTATCAGTTCATCGGCGCGGGGGATGAGGTATTGCGACTTGACTGTAAACATGTTCAGTGCCCTGTAGTCGATGCACATGCGAAACCGTCCGTCCTTTTTTGGTGTGAACAGGATCGGTGCGGCGAACGGTGACGAGCTCGGTCGGATTAATTTTTTCTCTAACACGTAATCTAGCTGCTTCCTCAGTTCGTCAAGCTCGGGCTGTGTCGGTCTAAACTGTCGCTGTACCGTTGGCTGTGGCCCCGGTTCTAACTCTATTCGGTATTCGGTGATCGTGTGCCCGCTGAGGTGGCAACCCCTCGGGTAAGTCATCGGGAAAAATCCCCGGGTACTGTTTCAACAGTTCTTGTAGTTCAGACGGTACCGCTGTCAACAGTTTCTGAAAATCACTCGGCTGCTCTGCTTGTCCTATTACTGCGATATCCACCGCGTACACGTCAACTCCAGCGGCGACAGCCCGTTTCATCATGATGGCGTTGACGTGGACTGTTGAAGACTCGGGCGACTGCCAGTGAGGTAGTTCGACCCAGTTACCGCTACTTCGCTTAGTGCAGCTACCCGTCGTCCAGTCGATTCGCGGGTTATACCGTCGTAGCCAATCACGTCCCAGTAAAATGTTGTGCCCATCCAATATCGTCGCAAGCATTTCCAGTGTAAACCCGAAGTTCCCCCCGCAGCGGACTTTTACTCTCTCCACCTTTTTCCGTATGGCTAGCGGCGAGCCGTCGACTAAGCGTGCATCTATCTCCGGTAAACACCGGCTAAGTGTCAGTTGCAGTTTCCGTGCAGTCGCGGTGCTAACTAAGCTATGACTTGCTCCCCCGTCGATAAAAAACTTCACTTCTTCTCCCTGTATTTTCCCGTGAATTAGTACTGGGCAATCCGACGGTGTACCCTCCTTATTCATCCGAGTCCGATCGATGGCGTGAATCGGTACTGTGACTCGGTGAGGGTCGGTGAGGTTGGGCGAGCAGGCAGTCTCGTCAGTAGTTGGCCCAACTTCTACTGACTGATGGCATTTCCCTGCCTCTGAGACTCCCTCCCCTGCTCTGTTCCGCGGTGCCTCAGCTCCTCCGGACATTCACTCTTGCAATGGCCAGGCCTATTGCAAGCAAAGCAGCGCCCCTTAAACGGCGCGGCAGCTGCATTTGCCACAACGGCGTGTACCGTGGTGTGCTCGATTGGTCCCTGAGGTCGATGTCCGTAGTAGGACCCCGGTCTCGGTCGGCGTAGGATATCAATTTTCTCCGCGAGCGAGAGGATTTCGTTGAAGTTTGATAGCCCGCGTAGCATAATCTCGTGCGAGATGCCCGGCTTCAGTCTGCCGACGTAAAGGTCCACCCGCTCCGCCTCGTGCATGTAGCCGACTTGCTCGCACAGAGCAAGAAAACCGCTGGTGTAGTCTTGAATCGACCCGAGCTGCCGCCAAGTACGCAGTCTCTGACGCGCCGAAATAGAAGCCGCGATTGGCTCGAAGCGCGCCCGAAGCCCTGCGCACCACGCATCCCACGTGCTGTACTGGGCGGTTTCGCAAAATGAAATCCAGGTGACGGTTGGGCACGTGGGCTCTCCCTCTTGCGGCGGTGGCTCGTAGGCGCGTGGCGATGTCACGATGACTCGCCACCAGTCCATGGCAAATCCCCTCAGCAACGAGACAGCGAAATGAATCTTCGCTGCGTCCGACTCGACGTAATTCGCGTAGAAAAAAACGTTCATCGTGAAGACCCACGATTGAACCGTCGGACCTCCACTTTGGCTAGGATCGAAGCAGGGCAGGCACTGCAGCTTGAGTGGCATTGGTGCCATGATGGCGTGGTCACCACTTGTTGCTGCGTGTCAAAATGTTCTATAGCTTATATTGTGTAGGCTATAG